CTAATTTTATTCAATTTTGTAAAATATATATATACAGGTACCTCTTCTTAAAAGTTGAAATTTCTTGTTATTTATAAGGTGAGTACAGAAGGAATATATTTCGTTCATGTGTTTTCCTTCCTCTGACATAGCTCCAGCTATTTTATATAAAAACTGTGTACACAAAAAACTTTGTTCCTCTGTGACAGGACTAGAATTAATAGTTACTATAATTATTTTGATGTTATATCCTTTTTCAATTGCACGCAATTTAGCCCAAGTGAAGTTTATAGGATATGCAGCATAATCAGGTACAATTAACAATATTCCTGTAAATAAATATATTAATATGTTAAAACTGTAATAAGCATTTGACTTGTAAAACTTCATTCAAGTAAAGATATCATAATCCATAAAGTATATAATAAATAATGGATTTGTATACCAGAAGAATCATTTAACTCAATTTCATCTATAACTCTCAGAATATTATTTTTTGGAGGTGCAGTTTTATGTCCTAAAACTGCAGCTGTTAACATCCCAGGACCCACATATTCTGCGCACAGTAATTCACTTTCTTCTCTACCACCAGATATTAACTTGACCTATTGCGTTATTATTAATTATTAAAAAACATTTTTAGGCACAATGGTATATTTACCTTTCCTTTCATACCAGCATAATCTCTACGTAAAACTGCCTGACAGTCTTTTAATACTATCAAACCATTGTGTACAGCTGCTACACCCATAAGACTTTTATCTATTGAAAGCTCAGACATTTTTTTGTAAATATACGTTATCTTTTACAAGTATATACAGTCACAGTCATTTACAAAACATGTAACACAATACTCGTATCGCAAAACGGTTACTTTCAGAAAAAATATAATAGTGAAAAGTAAAATAACATGAAAAATTTTATTATTGTATTGAGATAAAGAAATAAACATACGTAATTTGTTTAATCTCGTAAAAAATAACCTTTTCTTAGATATTTTCAGTGCTGCAATTATTCTCTCAGATGTAACTTTTTCATTTTATCGAATTATATATATATATATATATACATATATAAGTATATTCAGTAATACATCATTATATATCCTTAATTTCATTTAATAATTCAATAAGACAATCCAGTCAATCTTATGTAAGTACACATACGACACAGTGTGATACAATGAAGTCGTGAAGTACGAATGTGAAACACTGTAATGTGAACATAGATGTCGTACGAAAACACCTGCTTGCATTAACTACAATTTGATTTTTAAAAAATAACTAACTACATATTATATAATATAAGACAGTATATAAAATGAAAGTTCGTTTTAATAAGATATAAAATATGGAATGATATAATATATATATATAATACGTAATAATAAACAATACACATAG